ATGGACATCTTTTCCCATCCCTCTACCAGATGAGCGACCTCACTACCTACCCTTGTGATGAAGGGATGGTCCTCTGTCTACTCCTACTTGGGGATCTCACCCCTGGGTGGCTCCAAAGCACAACCCGTTCACCATCTCTCCCAGAAGCACATTGAATCCTCCTGGAACAGGACCTCCAGGAGGCACCTGGAGGAATAACACCTACCTGCATAGTTTAAAATCTTACTCTGAAATTTAAAATTATACACCGAACATTCTTTTCTTTGGCCACTTTTTTGAATGAAACCGGGGAAAACAGTGCCAGGTTTTGATGTAGCAATGCCTGAACTCTCCAGTTTGGATTTGCATCTATAAGAAAACATACCCTAATTATAGAGAAAACAGTTATGAAATAGAACAAAGTCACTAGATCATGTTGTACATTTCCTGTTCTATTGCCCCACCCCACACTCCTCTCTGGTGTCACTGAGGGTATAAATTGGGGCTGGGCTCAGTGTGTGCATTCACATCAAAGGCCAACATGAAGACTTGCACAGTCTTTGTTCTAGTGGCTTTTGTCATCTTGGGGATGGAGATGGCTTGCGCACAGAAACATCCTCACAAAGGTAAGGGTGCTGAGGGGGTCCTACCTGAGAGCACAGGAGGCTAAGAGCCCAGCTTCTTACCTGGGATGGTGTGGCACAGGAACAGGCTGCAGAGTGGAGATTTGGCATTGATCAGACCCACTTTCTTTAACCTTCAGGAGTGATAACCCTGCGTTTCCCATCCTTCTTCTTCTTTTTTAATCCTCACTCAAATATATGCTTATTGACGAGAGAGAGAGAGAGAGAGAGAGAGAGAGAGAGAAGAGAGGACATCGATTGGTTGCCTACCATATGTACCCTGAGTGGGGATTGAACTTGCAAAACTTTCAGTATGTGGGGCAATGCTCCAACCAAATGAGCCACACCAGCAGGGGCCCCATTCTTCTTACCAGATCAGGTTGGGCCTTATTAAAAGTTGGGGCTCTCTCTAGATGTGCCTTGGATGTAGGGCTCCTACACGGAGTAGCTCTGAGATAAACATGGGGTACGTATGAGGTGGAAGGCGGATGTCTGGGATCAGTGATGTTTCTAATATCTTATAGGGAGGAAAGAAGAGGCTTATGACAGCAGGCTTCTTGCCTGCGGAACTGGGCAGCCTTTGCAGCAGGGAGAACATTCTCCCAAGGGCCTGACTGTGACACTGGGGGCTTCAGTGTGAGGGTGGAGCTGCCGAGGCTGAGGGAGGGTCCAGGAGTAAAAGGAAGAAATGAAAGAGGTGGCAGTCCTGCCAGCAGTGAGGCCGTCAACCTCTAACCGCAGTTTTCATACCTGGTTAATGACTATTCCAGACTCCACAAACACCATTGTATGTTTCAGGGGGAAACAGACCTGGACACTGCCCCAATGTGCCCAAGGGAACCGTTGGGATTTGTGCTGAAATGTGCTCAGGAGATGACTCATGTCCCAGGGGAATGAAATGTTGCAGCAATGGATGTGGCCATGTATGCAAAGGTGCTATCCATGTGGTGAGTATAAATTCGTCAAGAGCTGACATGGGTGTTAACTACTCCCCAGTGGACTTTCCTGGGGCCAATGGATGTTCACATGTCCACTGCACATAAGAATCTGGGTAACTCTGAGAGAAAGAGGCTGGAGGTGAATGGCAGAAGGACCCCTGGCTGCATTATCTAAGACCCTCTCCTCGAAGAGAAGCCCTATCCCTGTCTCTGTCCCCGAGGAGGCTCTCAGTTGAGACAAGTAACCATGATCCTAGATTCCCAGGTCATTATTGACCCAGGGTTTGTCACCCCCTTTCCCTTCCCCACCAAGGGGGCTTCACTCTTCCTAGAAAATGGGTGATCCTGGGAGGCAGAGGGAAAGCAAAGAGAACCCCAATTAGGGAGTATCTCCTCTGTCAGTCAGGCATTGTGCTGAAGTTGAGATGAAAAGGTAAACACAGCTAGTTCATGGAGACAGAACTATGTAAATAATCACAACCCAGGGTGACCATAGCTTTGCACAAATTTCTACTAAGGTCTGTGGAGGCTCAGGTAATAGTTACTGGTTTTGCCTGGGTGGGTGGATCAGTGGAGGTTGGGAAGATTGTCAGAGAGTAGAGAACATTTAAGGGAGAGCTTAAAGGAGGCATAAAGTTTGCCACAGTAAGGAAGGGCAGTACAGATGATGGGGAAATGTGGGTCCTACACTGGAAATGGGAAAGTGATTCAGATCGTGGTCTGTAGAAGTTTCAACATCTCAGTAGACGATCATCCAAGCCAGGGTCCGGAAAGGAATGAGCTGCCTTGCCAAAGAGTTTGGTAGACTGCTGGAGGTTTCTGAGCAGAGGAAATGTCATGATCAAGTTTGTATTTTAGAAGAGTGCTGTTGATGACCATGTGGAGGAAGAATGGGGGGTGTAAGCCTGCTTGGAGACCGGTCCCAGAAGATTGCTCATGAATGCATCCATCAGTGCATTTTCCACACACCATTCTTGGCAAGTGTTTATCCCTTGACGTGCAGTCCCAGAAGATGAAGATCTAAAGTGATGGAGTGGCCGATTCTGAAGAGCTTGTGTCCAAAATAAATTTTATCTGTTGCATTATTGAGACTGTGTTATTCTTCCCATTTAGACATTCTTTCTAGTGGACCCTCTGTGATGAACAGAATGGACTGTGTGCCCTGTACTGAGTCCATGAATACTCGGCACTCAGGATAGATCAGAGGCAAGGTCTGCCAGCTAGCTTCTTTCCTCCTTCCATGTCCATGTATCTAAACAGGGCAAAGGGCATGATTATATTTTCTCAAAAATTCTGGGAATATGATTTTGGTCAAGAAAAAAAATGCCT